GTGTGTGTGTGTGTGTGTGTTTGTGTGTGTGTGTGTGTTTGTGTGTGTGTGTGTTTGTGTGTTTGTGTGTGTGTGTGTTATAGTTTCAATATACGTTCTACAGTATATTTGGTATAATAATTCAAGTACTGAGATGGAGTCAACATTCCAAATGAACACTTCTGTGATTCGATTTAAGCCTTCTCAGAGAAGAAATCTATCACAAAGCTGGGTGAACAAAAACATAATTTTAAACAAACGTGATAAACCTTTCAGTAAAATTTCTATAAAAACGTGAGAAATTTGCTGCGTCAGATATCGTCTTTGTCACAAGTCTATTAATTCTAATAGAAAACCTGTTGGTCTAGATCAATGTTCACTGACTTCAGAAAATAAATTTAAAATTCATCTCTATTTTCTAATCTTAAAAAAAGTTAACCGCCTGTTACTTTAACGTCATTGGCTTTTATCAGAAATATAAATTTTGCTCTATTCTTTCAACATTCGCCAAAATGAAGCATGAAATTAGTTAGTTGATTATTTCATAGAAATAAAGGACATAGTGAAAAAGAAAAAAGAAATCTTATTTATAATAAGTCTTTCTAAAGTAAAGACAACATGCTTTATAAACAAGGAAGAAATGGCTCATATGAAAATAAGAAAGTTAAAACAAACATTCAGAGAAATTCACGAAGAGTTTTGTAAGAGACTTCTATGGATCACAAAAAACGTTGTAGAGATTGAGAAACAGAAAAGCTGAAATCAGTGAAACCATAAAGATTAATAATATAGACAAAAAACATGGAGAAAATATTGCAGATTTGAATAAGAATATATCTGAGAAATAAGTTATAAAGTAGACTTCAATTTAAATAATGTAGAATTTGTGTCAAAGTGAAAGAGATGCGAAAAACTTTTTAAAAAAACAGAAAAGCACCTAGAAATGGGATATATAATGAGTTATTAAAATAAGGTGAAAAGAATTTAGAACATCAAATTGCTGTATTATATAATATTATAATCAAAGAAGATAGAATATCATTAGAATGGAAATCCAGCCTAACTTCACCCATTTTCAAAAAAGGAGACTAGAATAATCCTGAAAATTATAAAGACATCACTCTTGAATACGCCACAATAATTACTATAAAAAATGATACTACAAAAGGTAAGGTCACTTATCCAGATAAATGAACAAAGATTTCATTTAAATTGATCAACAGACGCCATATTTGTGATTCGTTAAGAAGTCGAAAAGGCGACACTCCAGCATTTTTTATGTTTCATAGATCTAAAAAAATGCGTTCTGTCGTGTCAGACTACAATACATAATAACAATGTTTAGAGAGAAGAATGCACCAAAGTCATTAATAAAAGTAATAGAGGACATGAATATGAACGTTGAAACAAAATTGCAAACTAGAAATATGATAACAGATGAATTTACATGTGTATCTGACATAGGGAATGCGCAAAGGAGTTAGAGAAATCCCCTTGTCTAAAGAAGGGGATTCTCTAACGTCTACTACTATCGCTCTACTTTTTAATTTAATTATGGACAAGCGTATTGACAGTAGTTTAAAGAAATCTCACGATTTCTGGCCTATTCTATTCTAATGTGTAGTGAGAGAATATCTATATTGTGTTACGTGGATGATGCAGTATTATTGGCTGTTTCAGAAGACAGCGTGCAAAGACTCTTTCAAAACTTTTCGAAAAGTGCAGTATATTATACAATAAATGGTCATCTCGATTGACAAAACAAATATCCGAGAAGGGCCTATACGTTCTAAACTGATGATAAAGAATAAAATAATAAAGACAATAATGAAATTCATATTTTTAGGAGTAGAAATTTCAAGCACAGAGAATACATTTAAAGAAATTAAATAGCAAGAATATCAGGGTAATTGAATGATGTGCTATGGAGAAACAAACGTCTTAATGTAGGAAGCAAAATAAAATTTACAAAACTATAGTAAGACTAGTAATACCACAAGGAGCATAAACAAGGGCCGTTAATAGGAGAACGAAGTCTTCCCAAAACATCAGAGATGAGAACATTGAGATCAATATTGGGTGTAACAAGATCGGATAGATTGAAAAAGCATGATATAAGAAATGAACGCGACATTCCATAGTACAACTTACAAGAAGAAAAAAATGGAATGATTACGTTACCAGGTCGGACAGCAAAAGACTAATCAAGATTGCGAGATTCAAAAAACCTACAGGAAAACGCGACCCTGGCAGACGGAAGAATAGATGGATCGAGAGTTGTATTTCCACATCTCCTGAATCATCCTGATGGTGAAGTGTGAAGAAAACGGGTGTAACCACAATAAAAGCAGATTCTTTCGAGTTTCCGAGCGCGTCACACTCTGAGGTCTAGTCCCGAACGTCTAGTGAATGTTTCCCTCGGGAGTAGCAGTCACCTTCCTCAGCTGGATGTTGAGATCCGGCGCCGACTTGTCCGTGGACTAGCGGTTTTTTCCTGACCAGGTATTTCCAATCAGCGGAACAAGCTCTAACATTCCGACTGTGTCCCTTCATGTGTGGTTGTGTTGTGAATGTAAGATTACCCTTTATAAGTGTGTGTGTGTGTCATAAAGGATAACGATAAGACAAAAAATAGGGAGGAATAATCTGGCGCGGTTCGTGGCTCGCATGTTAGGGTACTGCTGCGGCATTCACTCGGTGTTGAGCGGAGAAACCCGAATACTCCCGATCATAGCAACCTGCTGCTAAAATTTGCCTCCAGGCAGCAGCCGAGTTTGACCTCGCTATCTACCAAGTGACAAAAATCCTGCCGCATTCAGGACTCGAACCTGAGGACCTCCCGGTTAGAGCCCCTGTAGTGACAACAGTTGATGCCCCCTAAGCTGGACAGTTGATGCCCCCTAAGCTGGACAGTTGATGCCCCCTAAGCTGAATCGAACATCGGAAACAACTATTTAATGCGTCATATATTCATACTATTAGTTTTCTAGTAAATATGTGATTTACATATTGGGCAAATTTCGTTACCTTCACACATTTTTGTTGCAACTTTGTGGTGCGAAAGTTCTGGCCAGTTCTATTTTAATGTGATTCTTATGAACTGAGATTTGAAACATTAACACTTATGATTTTCATTATTTATTTTGTTGCTGAAAGCATCCATGACACTGACTACATTGCACAACAATACTGTGTTGGAGATATTGGAGAAATTGTACACAGTTGCTCGCACCGCCGTACTTCAAAGCGGTTATAACTATTCATAGCGGTTATAACTATTTTAACCTTCCTGTGTGGTGGCCATTTAGTTCGCCCCTTCTGGAAGGTCAAGTTTCCAACTATTCAGTCGCTGAGAATAAACGGATACTCTCATTTAAATATCCCTCCACTGTGATTTTTACAGTAGCAATTTGTTCAGATGCAGCCCTAATATGTTTTACACGTGGCAGAAGTCAAATAGAACTTTATCTCACAACACAGTTTCTTCCATTTTGTTACTCAGAATCTTGTCAGTCCAAAAAGTCGAGTTTCACGTTCTTGGGTGTAGCCTCATTCTTACAACTACTACAATGGCATTTAAAATGTACGCAAATGCACAACAAAACTATATCGCTTCAACAACCAGAAATCTACTGTCAAATGCGAGAAGTGCAAAGATACACGAGAAGAGTTTCTTCTACGAACAAAAGCAGTATAGTAAGGTGTCCATGAATCGTCCATCGCCCAAAACCATTTATCTTAAGGAATGAACCTTATGAGAAAAAATCGAACTTTCATATGGAATTTCTTTTTTTACACTTCAAAAAAATGCTGTTGCTATTGATATGTAGTTAGTTTACTTATTACAATATTCTATATATAGTTCAAATCTGCAATACTGGTACAACTCAAAAAATGTTTTGAGATAAACTGATTTTAAATTGCTGCTGGCGATGACACGTTAAGTAATGTATCACAGGCTTAAATATTTCATGAATTGTTAAGTGAGCATTACTAAAATGTTTCTTAGAGGTCATTGTAATAAAATGTATCATAATGTTACAAAATAATGGGAATAACTAAAAATATATATTACTTAACTTGTGCCAGCATTGAGCTTATGAAGAAATATACTAAAGTAATGACCCAATCCTTTTTTTATAGCAAACTCTGTAACACGGAAAAATCGATTATTTCATTATCTCAAGAAATAGAAGAACAAGCAGGCGAAATAACTCGCATTAAATTATTGAACGATGCAGTAACTGATAAAATGACAAAAGATGGATGGGAATACGCTCATATTGTAGAGAGGTATGCTAACTGAAAGTTTCTATTATCTCGCTATAATAGTGAATAACTAATACTAAAATTACTTTTTTTACAGTGCATTTAAAGATGTTGAGTTTCAAAGACAGAAATACAAGAAAGATCTTGGGTTACTGGACACTCGGGTCAAGACCCTGAAAGTGAAAGAAAATTCATTAAATCTCCGCTTCCGACAATTGACTGCGGAAAATGAATATCTTACCAAAATGCTGGATGAAGCCACCAAGGAGGAGAAATGATACTTTGCTATTCTTGATATTATTTTCGTAAATCTGAAATTTGAATATTTGTAACTTATCTATACCAAAATATAAAACCGAATTAAATTTAAATTTTAATATATTTTTAATGAATAGCTTTTTAATATGTCGATCATTCTGCGAAACATTTTAATATTCTTGACGCAAGCATCCATACATATAATAAAATCCATTAGTTGGTCAGTATTCATCACTGATGAAATATATACTCTTTCCTCGAGACACGAATGTTACCCCGCATCCTGTTCGGAAGCTGAGGGAAGAGATCGCGGCACGGGTGAATAATTGTGGCCACAGAACCAGATGAAAAACTACGATAAAACGTACTAACCACTCTATTCCTAGGCTCTATGGTCTCCCTAAGCCCGACGTGCCACTACACCCGATCGTGAGAGCAATAAAAGTTCCCACCCACACTATTGCACGCTATGTTGCAGACTTACTGCGACCTCTGACGGACATCGTAGTTGGCTATCAGGAATTAGTCCAATCTTATTGATATTCTTAAGGAGCAACGTCTTAAGGAGTAATACTACCTGTAATGGATCAGCAGCTGGACAAAGCGCATTGAGGCTCGTTAGACAGTGGAGTGATGTCGCCGAGGGGATGTACGTAGCTGCGGGCAACGGAGCAAGCAGTCTGGTTTTGCGAGAGAGCTCCAACTAGTCTATATTTATTGTAATTCTACCTACGCCGACGTGTCCACTAATTTTATATTCTCTTCGGACTTTCGTGACCGGCTAAGACCTCATAATTCTCCTGGTGTCGTCGCCTGTCCCGTCGAGGTGGGTCGGTCCACGTCGTGAAGGGGAATGCACTGAAGGCCGTCAAGTACTTCTTTCTTTCAGCAGTCCCTTCGTTCATTATCGTTCTTTGATAACATCCTGTCTTGTTTCTTCTACCCCTTCTGTTTCACTGGCCCCCTCCTGTATGCTGAACGCACAGCCATGCGTTTGCATCGCGACCCATGTCGGAGGGTGTGTGTATGTGTGTGTGTATCCTGTCAGTTGAGGGACCTGTTTGTTTCCCAACTACTTCTTGTGCTACTTTTTGCTTTGCACGTAGGGATAAGCTGTTAACGTATTTTGTGGAACATTCCATCTAGGTTTCCAAAACTTGCTTTGGCCTCGGACTCTACACAGGGAAGCTAACCCACTCCCGATAGTGAACCACGAAGACTTTGCTTCGGAATATGAGGAAGAATGTATTACATTTTTCAAGAGACAGGGCGTGACTGAAGTGTATAGGATCAAAAGCAGGGGAAAATGACCCCTACTTCAACCCTGATCCTTACGTTTGGCCGTCCGTCCCTCTAGGGAAGGATCATTTGTGGTTTCTTCAACTTCCATGTGCGACGGTATGTACCAAATCCTTTGCGCTGTTTTACGTGTCAAAAGTTTGGGCATACCCAGCAACGATGTATGTCGACAAGCTCAATGTGCTGGAAGTGCGGAGCCTCAGTGCAAGATCCCATCCCTCCGCTACACCACCGCACTGTGTCAATTGTGAAGGTGACCATCCAGCCAACTACAACCAGTGCCCTACCTTTCTCCCGGAAAGAGAGATTCAGATGAGAGCCATTGGAAAGGTTTCCTTCCCTGAGGCCAAACGTCAGCACCAGACTTGAAATCAAAGAGACCTGCCCCTATTCTCCAGTACCTTAAAAACGCACTCAATGGTAACAGTAAGTTGCCAAACACAACGTTCTCATGATCTAGTAGCGGACTTCAATTGCCAGGAGTCGCCTTTAGACCCTTCTAAAGATACGGCGTCCAAGGTAGAAATGTAATAACACCAACGAAGTTTAAAAACTTACTTGTCCAAAACTTCCACCGGCCAGAGATCACTTCTGAGCCCCGTATGGAAATAGTCGTCAGATATCGCATCTGAACAGAAAAGTCGAAGTCCCGTCCCCTTATTACTTCTGAGACTCGCAATGAGCGATCCTCCAGCCCCTGTATATCTCGGGCACCTGCGACAAAAATACGGGAAATCCCCCGCCCCTACTCAGACTCAGAGGACCATAAGTAGTAGCAGTTAGGATGACTCTGCTGTTGACGAGGAGCACCACAAGAGTTCCTCTACAACTTTTCAGGTGAGAAAGATATAAAATCCAAAGTAGTAATTCCCCACAATAAATAAAATAAATAAATAAGTGACTTTAATGATGGCGAGGCTCAGGCCATTTAGCCTGCTCTTCCGCCTGACCATAAAATGTCTGTCACACGTTATTTAAACGGCTTTCGTGCGTATTCTGAATAATTGAGATTGAATATTTCTCATCGTAGTCCATCTATAGTCCACCTGCAGGAAACCCACATTCTTTACCATCTCCTCTGTCTTTGCAGTTTTATCACATATGGGTTTGATCAAGATGACGGACTCCGTGCTCACCGTAGTGTCGCGGTACTAATGCGTGACTCCCTGTTCTCTGAGAAACAATCTTTCCGCGTCTAGCTTGGTGACGCATCAAGTCACCAATTAGAAAACTGTGTTCCCCAGGGATTGGTTCTGAGGGTCACTCGTTTACATTGATATCAATAATTACGCAACAGTAATTCAAGAACCTGTGAAAGCATCGCTCTTCATTGATGGCTTTGCCATTTTTTGCTCCTCAAAGATAATGCAAATTACTGAGAGGCAATTAAAGCTGGTCCTCAACAAACTGCAACAATGGAGCAATAAAACTGGATTAAAGTTCTCCACCTCAAAACATCGTGATTTCAGCAGGTTGTAATCAATTAGTTAGGGAAAGTAAAAACTGTAACATTAGGAGGGGAAGTAGAAATAATTAACTAACCATAATGTTAACATAGGAAAAATAGTTTTTATTCTTTAAAATTTTCTCCAATAACAAAGTAATTAATTCATTTTTATTAGCTTCGCTGTTCATCGTCTGATACACCCCCGACACGTCATATTCGAGTCTCTTCCTCTTCATCTCCCCCTCAAATTCCCATTTCTTCCTCTACAGTTCCACAATTTTTTCTTCAACCTCCAAGCGTTTAGTCTCCAATTCAATTTATTTTCTCTTCTAGTTCCCTCCCTCTGACCAGTTTTTGGGCTAAAAATCCAGCCCATTACTTCAGGATGTGGAGAGTCGTCTCCGTAATGGAATATTTGAACAGGAGGGAATATGGGAAGACGCAATACTTTGTAGGCGAGTAGGGGGAAAGACGAGTCTCCACTTCCAAAATTAACAACTCATCTTCGGGGGAAGCAGCTACTGATGAATCTGTGGCGACATCACGGGCTGTAAATCCTCTTGAGAATCGCATACTTGGTGTGTCCTCCGTCGTAATGTCGGCCACTGCTGCCAACAGCTGCTGCTTCTCCGAATATTCTTTCTCTTTTCCAGATCTGGAAAAATAGAAATTTGTATTGTTGGATTGCATTGTTGTACCTTCGAACAACAGAGAAACTGTGCTCTTTTCAATTTTTACATTAAAATGTGAAATATTAATTACTGAATTTCAATTATATCGAATTCTGGTATCACAAATTATAACAGAAAAATGAGCCACTGAACATACTTGGCAGGAATTAAAAACAGATGCATATTTACTCTAAATTATAGGCTTAGCCCTTTGAAGTATAGCATTCAAAACAAAGCTGTACAAAAATTCCTTAGCAAGTTACATTTAAGATTAATCAAGAAAAGAATAGTATGAAGTGAAGTAAGAGTATTTAGGTACCGGGAGTAGGGGGTTAGTCTTTAAATTTATGACCAAAATTAGTTCTCTTCTAAGAAGAGAAAGTAAATTACAAACTGAGGGAGGTTAGATTTGATATTAAGTAATGTTTCTTCTAAGACAAGAATGTACAGGACATTCAGGTTAGGGAGGTTAAATTAGGCATGTATTAACACGTAAATTATTCGAGCAATGTATTTTAAAGTTCAATCTTTTTTCTTATTATAGGGAGAATTAAGAAGAGAATGGTAAAAAACTAATGAGTAGGGACATTACTTTCGAAATTTAAAAACCAAAGAAAGTAATTACACTAAGGAAGTTAAATGAAAGTTTATTAGTACTTACTTTCGCAAATTTGCTCTGTCGCCCTTATCCCATAACTTCAAAAGTAGGGCCAAGTGCTCCCTCAATGTATGTAATTTGAACGGTTTCCCGGTCTGTGAAGCCACACGTCTCTCTACAACGGCCCATTGGCTTCCATCCACAAATGGATTAGACGGCAACACTTCGCAGTAGACTATTATAGACTCTTTAGCTGCGAAAAAAGCCGGCTTTTGTCCACCATGATGCAGTAAACAACTTGTTCCACAGAAGTCTTCCCGGATTGTGATGGTGTGAACAGGCTTGCACTAGTGCTCTTCCCGATTCGGGTTCGTTACCTGGCGTGTGGTTTTTAATGGAAAGGGAGAGGTGTAGTTGGAAGGAACCTCTCGCTACCCCAGACGTGCTGTTAGGTGAGCGGAGGATGTGAGGTGTGAGGTAAGAAGAGGGGGGGCGGAATTTTATTCCCCCCCCCCCTCTTATTATTTAGACATACTCTCAATGCTGTCCTGTGGACGATTTTGACTCTTCTTCTAAGGAGTAGGGCCAATTTACGGCAGAAACGGCCAATTTACGGCAGAAAAACCCTTATTACAGGGCCCTGGAAACGAGAAAGTGTGTAAATCAAGTTGCTAAATTTAGAAAAAGATCCTCTAATAGATATTATACGCAGAATTCATGTGTTGTGGGTCCTTGATTGCAAAATTCGAATGATGGCAAAACGTCAGTCTGAACGTCCGTTCGTCTATGAGCAACGCAAGCGGCTAAATCGTTCAGCCGATTAGGTACTTTACATGAAACCCGTGAGATATTTTCTAAATTTCCGAAAAAGTTGCTTCATCGTCTTTGATTAAATCTTGTTCTCGGATAGTGTGAGTTTAAGAGAAGGGTGCAGGTCCCATATTCGTTAAAAATCCTAATTTTTCGAAAATTGCAAAAGTTCAATTTTTTTCGGAGTCTCCCTATAACTACAATATTAAAAATGAGATATTTCCCCTGAATGAAGCATGTTCCTTAAAAAAAGATTTTGATATAAGGTCATGTTCAATTTTCCGAAAATGTTAGTACTTT